TTTATATAGCAAGGCGAGTTTGATGTCTAACTACCCTACAAACAAAAGCTGCATATTGCATTGTTAGCCAACCTGGGATGTAAAAGTTCCAAGCTCCTGCTTCAAGAGAAAAGCACAACACCCCCAACCCTTAAAGAACACGCAAACAAAACGTAAGCCGATACGTGCAGTAGTTTACAAGGGTATAGTTGGTTTTGAAACTCATTACACTCAAATCTAGCTACAAATTGTCTGCCTTAAAATGTGTTTTCCATAATCGATTATACCCCAGTTTGCCTAAGACCAACTATTCAACAATTCTGAAACAATCCCTTCACATGGTACAATCTACTCGGGTGTTCCTAGAAAGTGCACGTTTGAACTCTCAGCAACCGTTTGGTTTACCAATGCAATGAGTCTCAGTGTGAAACATGCAGCTCTGGATGAATGCATTAGACGAAATATCTGGTATCTTCAGGTGTACGTTGGGGTGCTTTACTAAGCTGGTTTCTTTTCATTAGAATTAGACCTTGATTTAAAATCAAAGTAGGCTTGAAGCCCCTTTGCTTAACCCACTGTGGCACAAGAAGCCAGTAAACTGCTCATGTTTTAACCTGAACTACAAGATAACAGGGGCCCTACGGCATGGATTCTACTATGAAAATATCACCTTAATGGACAGTATCGCATTTTGCCGGCCGGGCACCGTAGTTAGGATACGCTGAGTATAAGTAGCTTTAGCATTTTCATTCAAGTGCTTTGACAACTGAAAAAAAATAAAATAAAATAGCTGTTTAAAATATTTAGGAATGCTGTCATCTAACTATCGTACAAGTATTCACCTTCATTCAGCAACCTCATAGCTGCAGCACACATCAAGCAGTCAGGGTCTTTAAGCTTTCTTTGATTGCAATTAAGGTTCATTTTAGCTTTTTTTTTTCCTTTTTTTAAATTTTTTTTTTTTAAGCCAGTGTGCCATCTTCTCAAATATGTACATAAAGTTTGGTAGCCAATTTTAAAGAAAAGGCATTTAAAGGACATTAAAAAATGAGTGATCATGTAGCATTTTAAGTAATTTCTTCTGAAAACACTTTAGCTTCTATAGATCGCTAACCTGCAGTAACTAACACATTTGTTTTTCTTAAATCTGTAGCTAAAACTATCCCTCTTCATTTTGGTACTATCAGAGTACTGAAATGCAAAACCAAAACCAGTTTTGTGGCTTTTGTGGCCAGAACTCTGGCAGAATGAGTGTATCCAACTCTTTCTTTAAAAAAAGTATAACCAAACCAGGGCTCTATTGGAACGTTTTCTGTTGTCTATAAATTTATTGTTTTTCCATGAGCCCATACGGCGTTTTAAGCCACAAAGAAAAAGGAATCAGCCCTTTTGTTTAAGTGGGTAATGGGACAAGTGATGTTACCGACTTTCTTGATGCTAATAGCTGTTAAGCTTTCAAACATTCAATAAATTATAACAATGTACCTAATAGGTTCCTCCTGAGAATACAGGTACATCACGGAGAGCACCATCCCCCACAGTTCATCTCCATTCTGGGTCACCTACGTCACCTATGGGTTCTGGTAGTCCCGGGAGAGGCAGGGATATGTCCTCGAAAAAGAAAAAGGGTCTGCTTTCCAAAGGCAAGAAACTGCTGAAAAAGCTTGGTGCAGTGAAATGATTCATGTACTCCTGGACAACTTGTAAAGCTTCCAGTCTGTGTAATTTTTTTTTTTTTTTTTTAAACGTCAAAACTAGGGCTTTCATGACTATGCAGTACAACTTTACCAAACCTTTGCATTTTTACCTCTGACATCAATAATCATGTGAATTGCTTAATCAAAACAACAAGAGAAAAGGAAGGGCATTTGTTGTTGCAAATATTTTCTTCTTAAAAAAATATTTTTTTTGGTGGGATTAAGACCAGAAGAACATGGTTTTATTTGAAGTCAACTCAACACCTGCAACTCCATTGGATAATCTCAGCCTTTAGTCCCCTTTAACCATGAGTGGGGGGAAGAAAACTCTATTCATTGAGTCCTGGTTCAAAGAGATCCCCACCCTGTGTCTAATCTTTATCACCAACAAAAATGGTCTTGAAACTCCTAGTTTAATCAGCCTTGATGTTTTGCCTTATTAATGCACAATGATTTGTACTGTCTAATAAATATACAGCGTATACTTTGTATGTACTGTGTATTCCACTGTCTCCATCTTCCCTAAAACCGTTAATTGCAGATCAAGTACTATGTTACTGACTCCATTCAGTGTCTGATGTAACTCCTGGGAGTTTGAAAGTGCTGTGCAAAACGCTTTCTTTTTTTTTGTTTTTTTTGCTTCTTTTCTTTTTTTTTTTTTCCCCCCCACCCAACCCAAACCCCGTGTATTGGTTTCTTTCGTCAACATTTGCACTATCAGGTACAGTGTAAGTTATTCAGAGACTCACCCACTTTCAACCATGTCACATCCGGTTTTGGAGTTTCCTGGTTCACTGTTCTAAATCACCAGGAAAAAAAAAAAAAAAGAAACCACAAAAACCTCCCCCACAGAAAATCCTTTACTCCCCAGCTTTTTTTCCTGTGGAGGTACAGCCCTAAGGTAACAGGCATTTTCATATGGCTGATGTCAGACTTCAGATAAAGTGCATGTCTAAAGTAAGGAGTGAAAAACTGTGTCACATACAGAAGCCGCAGCCGGTCAAGAGGCTGCAAGAGGCGATAATCAAATACCAACTGCAATATTGGCATCTCAAGAAAAACAATCTTACACAGTGATGGCAGTCATTGGCTGTTACTATTTTGTAATTCTTGTCCATTTGTAAATTGTTTTTACTGTTTATACATACTTTTCAGACTGCCTTTCTTTTTGTAATTTATGGAAGGTTTCTAAATGAATGCTCGAAGCTTCCCCATTGTGTCTTCAGATAACCCTGTAAATTACTGTAAGATACCGTGTGCTAGATTATACATTTAATTAAAGAAAATAACTGGCCTACATTTGTGGTAAAGTACTGTGTGGGTGTGTGCATGTGTACAACTGTTGTGTATTCTATTTTATATAAATAAATCATTTGATATTTTGTAGAGTGCAGTATGTTTCATGAACCTGCTGGGTCAGCTGCTCGCCTGCGGGGCAGCCAGCCCTCCCTCGCTACAGGGTCCGACCCCCACGGCAAGGTGCAGGCCCAGGGAGCCCCGACTGAGCTGGCCAAGGAAGCAGCCGTGCTCGCTCCCTTTCTGCAGGCCTCAAGTGACAGAAACCAGATCAGGACAAGTCCCTGTGATAGGGATAATGGGAATAAATACAAAATACTTGGTAGTGAACAGGGAAAGCTACCACTGTATGACATCAGAAAGACCAAAATATTTGCCAAACCGCCCTGTGCCTTTCTTCACTACGAATTCCATGTGGAAGGCAGAGGGTGGTGCAGTTCCCTTAGCCTAGGAAAGGACAAACCTGACCTGAATACAAGTGACAGAGCCCCCTCGTTTTTCAGAGCTGCCACCAGCTGCTGAAGTTCACTGTAGAATAAAGCTCATCTAAGCGCAAGATTCCAGGAGCTTTCCGTCAGCAAAAACCAGTTAGAAAGTGACTCTGGCACATGTCCCATCCAGTGCCCAAAGCCCAGTCTGGAGGAACGTATGCAAACACATCCAACACGAGCAAACGAGCAATGATTGCAGCAACAACTTTATTGAAATCTCACAAAGGAAACGAACAAGGTTCACAACAAGCAAGTTTTAAGATAAACAAACCCAAACCAGCACTAGTCCAAGTTCTTCCATAAGTACTAGTCTGCACCTGGTAATGCAAAAATCTGGAATCAGTTGCCACCAGCACAATTGCTATTTGCTGTGCAAATTAAGCTTTTTTTGAACAGCTACCAAGGAAAATCGCAGCAGTACAACACAAACTGAGGCCTAAGAGCTTCCCATGACTTGGAAATGCACAACCAAAAAAAGCCCCAAAACCACCAACAGTAAAACTATGCTTTGATGGAAATTATTTCTCTCATTTAACAAGCATGCAGTTAGACAATGTCAACCAAGAAACTCAGTTCGTTTCAGTTATACACTTGCAGTTGTATAAGCCAACGACTTGCGCTACACAGAAAAGATGAAGTCACGAGACTAAGAAAAAGCACGTCCCTGGGACAGGCTGCGGGGAGTCCCGCGGCCCTGTGACGGCATTCAAGCTTAGTCAAAGCCATCACTTTGGGGGCAGAGAAGGCCATAGCCTTAGATAACGAAGGTGTTCCTACCCTTGTGATACCATCCAGGAAGAGTTTGGCCGGCCTCCCGACACTCGTTCCTGAAACTCTGGTATATCAGACTCCCCTGCTCAGCTCTGCCGGTCTGAAAAAGCCCCACTGCACTTCCCTCTGCTCCCAGGGAGACACAAGTGAGCTCACGGCTGTGTACAGTGGGTCTGCAAAGCACTTCCAAGTCTCCTCCACAGGTTTTGCAGCACTATGCCATCTTAAAACAAAGCCTCAATACCCAAGAATGTCCGATAGCCTCTCTAAGATATGAAATCATTTGGGAGACAGAATTTTGCCCTCAATTTAACAGCCAAGAAAAACAATGAAGCAACAATTGCATTTTGAAAGTGAAAAGTGTGATGTGCAAGCTGGAGAAGCTTGGCTTGTAGTCTGCATAACTCTATAGCTTGTAGGCCAAATATAATTCTGTGTAAGTCTTCCCCAAAACATAGATAAAAATGAGAACAACTGACAATCTTTTGTGAAGAACCCCAGAAACACTTTAGTAAGTAAGTAGTAAAAAATAATGTAAAATTCTCTAGTTTTTCCAGCAAGCAGAGACCTATTCAAAATGCAGATCTGTTACCTCAAGCTTCTTCCTGTGACAATGAAAATAAGGTTCCACACTGCACAGAGTCATCGTCACATGCACATGTCTTAAGAAAAAGAAACAAAACCAAACAAGAAACCACCCACAAACCCAGACAATTCGGTATTTCCTAGGAAAGGATCTACCCTATTTTTTTAGCTGGTAACAACTTCAAAGATAGTAAAGTCTGTCCGAAAGCAACTGGTTTGGTTCTCTGTGAATACTCTGACCAACAAGGAAGGCCAGCTTATGAGCATACTGACAAGGAGCTGGTACTCTGATAACACCCTGCAGAAGGAAAAAGAAAAAAAAAAACACAATTATTTCCCAGTCATTTAATAGGCACGTACTGCAACAGAGAGCCCTGGAATTCCAAAGTCTGGACACATGTAAAATTGATATTCCTCGTAGTCTATGCCCATTTGTGAAAACAACATTACAGGTACTGAACATACTAAAAAAACGTGCTTTATAGAAGAACAGATGCAAAAAACTTCCCAACACCGTTCCCCCTTCCTCACTCCAAAAAGCCTCTCACGCAGGTTTACATTGGATGATGGATCCCACAGCATCAAGGTGGGACGCGGGCAAGTCATGTGAAATATTTAGGATTCCTAAAGTGACAAAACTAAAGCACACCCCGGGCAGGAGCTGCCTGTGCTGATCTTGGCATGCCACAGAAGAAGCCTCAGGGAAATGGAAGAACATGGTTCCATCTCCACACAAAGGAGTATTTTTGCAGGTAAGAAATAATTGCTACAGTTTTGCTTTTCACATAGAATTTGGGAATACTACTCAAAACAAGCATTTTCTAGTGAGAATAAAGATAACCTTCTCTAGGCTGAGGGAGATCACGTAATTATACAAAGTCTAGTTCTCAAATCACCACTCCAGGTCAGGAGGCAGACTTGCAGGCTTTTTGGATTTGCACAAGTCTTTCAAGGATACATTTTTCTACCGTATTGTGGGTGGTTCCTGCGGAGAGATGTGCAAGCATAGAAGAAAATATTATCACTTCCCAGCAGAAATACTTACCGGCCAGTTATAATACATGTGGCAAAGTTTGTAGGTTAAACGTTGCATGTGATCTGGTTTCAGTTTGCTCGTGTCATAAATTACGTTATAATGAGTGGGTGCAACACAACCATCTCTCACTGTCTGACTCACAATGAAGAAATCATACCTGTAAGAAAGCAATACAAAACAAATCAAACATCTGATACAGAAAGGGCTGCTTTTCTAAGAAAAATGCAATTTCCCATGAGTTTTCCTTCTTTTCTTCGAGTCACTTTATGCATATTGAGTAAACCCCAAAAGTATGATTATGCTTTGGTCACAAAATAATCAGTTTCCTCTCTTTCTGAAAGGTCAGGATGTAAATAACCTTTTCATATGGAACAGGTCTTCAGACCATGAAGGTCTTAACCATTCAACATACACAGCTTTCCTCCCAATAACCACTCTGCACAAGTACTTCGCCCACGCTCCTCATTTCCCCTGGGACACCGAGCCACGCTTGGACGTCTGTCACCTGTCACCACGCTTGAAACACCTGCAGCAAGCTGGTAAAACACAAACGCAAAGGGAAGACTCCCCAGGGGAGCTGCACACTGCCACAGACGACTGCAGGGCTTCCTACACGCTCCAGCGTCCCTCGACCAAAGTCCAACCCTCCATCACGCACCCAACAAGCTTGGTGTTTCCCACAGCCCTGACCCGAGCGTGGCGGGGCGGGACTGGCAAACCCGTTCCATTCTGCCCGCGAGCGCGCGAAGGCCGCGAGATCGGTGTGCGTGTGCTACCTACGCGCACAACAGCCCAACTCCGAGGTGTCTTCCAGCAACTTCTCAACAATCCCAGAACCTTCTCAACAATTCCAGCACCTACTCAAACGCACCCTTACAACGTAACAAAATTCAGGTGCAATGGCAAAACTACAGCCAGACAGGATTTAAATTCAGTGAAGGACAGTTGGGCAATCACTCATTTGGTAGTGATCCTTAAAAAATAAATATAAAAAACCCCAAAACACCAAGGAGCGAAACCCACACACTTAAAGCATCTGCAATACGCTGATGTAAGCACATACTGCATGTTGGAAACCACAAAATATTGCATAATGAATTCATAAAATTTAAGCTTGTCCATTTCTTTCATCTACACATTCATGGTTTCCTTTGAAAAGCACCAAAGTGTGGAAAGTATTCTTCTCCTTGACCCCACCGTCAAGAGTGCAGCAGACAGCTCCTGTATTATCGGGGTGCCAGCCCACAGAAGAGCTGTCACTTCCGCATCAACTCACCACTCTGGTCTGGTAACCGCCACATCCACAACAGTACCAGGGGGCGGGTTTGTAAGGGCTCCACCACTCTGGGCAAAGAACCTGGTGTTCACGCGTTTCTTCACCACTATCACAGAAAGTCTCGGACTAAAAGAAAAAAACAAACACGAAACAAAACTATCCTGAAATACTGCACTGAGAATATTTCAGGAGTAGATTCTCTACAGCTTCAAATTAAAAGCAAGTTCAGAGCTCTCCAGGGCATTCATTTCACACATAATCCTTCACTAATGCCTTCATTTAGATTAAGTAGGATGTTGTTCATAACTTTAGATTTTTAGTTTCAGATGCAACTTTGATACTATTTCTCACCATCCCAGCTTACATTAACTTCATAGGGAGACAGAAAACAGAACAAAAAGGGATCTTCTATCTCTCTACCTCATCTTTTCATAGAAAACACTGTGTTATAACAGTATTTTTGCTAAAGTGACCTCAAATCATGTAAACCATCATCATAAAAACAGTTGTTTGAGCTCAAGTAAAAACAGATAAGGATGAAATGATGACATGATCTTCTTCTGTAACCACTTTTTGGATCCCAGTGTGTATTTCTCTTGCAGTATAAAAAAGGGGGCTGGTGGAAACAGACTTACTTGTAGTCTCTGCCAACGCTCTTCATGCAATCCAGAAATTGAGGCACTTCATAATCAACCAAAGTACTTAGCTGTCCATCTCCTACACCATCACGATACACAACAATACGAGAGGGCAAACACTTATTCCACTTGAACCAGTCTCTTAAAGCAGCTTAAAAAAATACAAAAAGAGTAAAAGCTGTCAGCTATAATAAACCAAAAATGGATTTTTATTATTGGAAGAACAGCACTAAGTTTGAAATGGAAGGTCCTCAACCTTTCAGCACCCTGAAACAGGTCGGCATCGTGATACACAA